AACAAGTGGAGATGTAATGTCCCGAACTACCACAGTAGAGGCAGCGGTTGGTCTCACGTCTATGTTGGCGCTCCTCCTTGGTTAACCCGTGCCGCCCCACTTGCATGGGTTCAGAATCTGGAGGCAGGACCTCTCCACTAATCCCGTGTGGTGGACAATGATCGACGCGTTCTGGTCCACCTCCTGACCCGACTGGGAACCGAGAAGCTGATTGATTGGACGGGCCCCATTGCTTCTCCCTCCTTCTCTCTCGAACTCTGTTATCCACCCGAATAGACAAAGCTACCAAACTGTCCAGGTCACTAGGCTCCGGATAGGAGATCAGCTCATCCTTGAGTTGCTCCGACAACCCCTGATAAAAGGCCGCTTGCAGTGACTCTTCATTCCACCCACTCTCCACAGCCAATGTCCTGAATTCGATTACGAAGTCGGCAACTCTGCGAGCTCCTTGGCGAAGAGAAAACAGGCGCTTAGCTGCGTCCTTACCTCGGACTGGATGGTCAAACAGCTTCCTCATCTCTGCCGTGAACTCCTGGTATGACGCCATGCAGGTGTCCTATCGTTCCCATACGGCTGAAGCCCACTCCAGGGCTCTACCACGCAGCAATTCAATAACAAAGGCTATCCTAGCCTTGTCTGTGGCATAAGAGTGGGGCTGTAGATCGAACACTAATCCACACTGCATAAGAAAGGAACGGCATCTTCCCAAATCCCCTTCATACTTATCAGGCGTCGGAACCTTGGGCTCACGGAAGGGCACAGCTCCAGAAGCGGCAGGCGAGAGGGGTGAAACCGGTGGTGGATTCTCCACCGGCAAACTGAGCTGAGCCTGGATCTTCGTCAGACTGGTAGAAAAACTCCGAACCGACAACGCTATCTCCTGTAGCGCCGTGCTGTGTTGTCCCAACATCCTTTCCTGATGGGTAATGGCATGGCGAACAGAGTCCAGGTCCGCTGGGTTCATTTCTGGCCGGATCGTTCTGTCACGGTTCTCTAAGACAGAACCCAGAAGCAGACCAGGACAAGGTGAGTTGAACGATGGTGAGTATTTATTTACAAATTCAAAAAAGATGCAGAATAATCCAGGAGACGGAGCGGGCGGCGGAGATTAGTTGGTGGAGGTGAAGTGGCAGATCCAATGATGGCACGGCAGCCGCCGACAACCAGGCAGGGGTTGGGTGAAGGTTCCGGGAGAATGACTGTAGACAGAAAAAAACGGAGGTAAGTACACGGCAGGCCAACAAGGTGCAAAACAACAAAACTAACGCTAGTAACTCAGAGGCTGATACGTTGACAAAACATACTGTTCATGGCTAACGATCCGGCAGGGAATGGAAGTCAGGTCAGAGCTTATGAAGGGGTGATGATCAGGACCAGGTGTGCCGAGGCTGATGAGAAGCAGGTGCGGGTAATCGAGAGATCACCCGCCTAGCAATGTCGCCCGGCAACCGGACAGGGTGCGTTCAGGAACCTTCAGGAAACAGGAGATACAGAGCAGAAAAACGGCAACACAGGCAGGAACAGACTCAGGACGCAGGGTTCATGACAGTTTTGTCCATTGCTTGATCTATTTTAAATGTAAGAATATGTTGCAGATTTCAACTTTAATTGGTGACTATGGAAACAAATAGAAATGTAATGAACAATGTTTTCAATATCCAACTTTATCCTCTGCAATACTTTCTACAGCAGGTAATAAGCTGTAGTCAGGTGGTTATTACCAGGTTAGGATGAGATCTATGACCAGTACATAATATAGTGGTCAGAATTATGACCAGCTGGTCAGATAGAGGTCACAATTATGACCAACTGGGCATATGGTGGTCAGAAAAAGACCTAAAAAGCCTGTCATTTTCAATCAGTTTGCGACCAGAATAAGACCTTATACTGACATCTTTTCAACTAGGTTCTGCCCACTGGGAAGATGGATAGATATTCCACAATTAGGAAACGGAGCACCGAGCACGCCCCCATTCACATTGACTGGGCTGTAGTGGAGCGGGTCGAGAGCTTCATGTTCCTGTCTCCACATCACTAAGGATTTAACATGGTCCAAACACACCAACACAGTCTTGAAGAGGGCACAACAATGCCTCGTCCCCCTCAGGACGCTGAGACTTCTAAATAAGACTGCTAAATAGCTAATCATTTGGCTACCAGGACTACCTGCATTGACCCTTTTTAACAAACTTTCTTGCACTGACTCTATGCACACACACTGGACTCTACCCACACACTCACACATACTTACACTGACACCCCAACATACACACACACACAAACACACACACACACACACACATAACATGCACACACATGCATACTGACGACACACACACACTTCCACACTGTATATAGATGGCTTCCTGCCATCCAGGACCTCTATACCAGGCGGTCAGAGGAAGGCCCTCAAAATTGTCAAAGACTCCAGCCACCCTAGTCATAGACTGTTCTCTCTGCTACCGCACGGCAAGTGGTACCGGAGCGCCAAGTCTAGGTCCAAAAGGCTTCTCAACAGCTTCTACCCCCAAGCCATAAGACTCCTGAACAGCTAATCATGGCTACCCGGACTATTTTCACTGCCCCCCCCCACCCCCACCCCATCATTTTAAGCTGCAGCTAATCTGTTAATTATTTATGCATAGTCACTTTAACTATACATGTACATATTACCTCAACTACCTGCACCGGTACCCCCCTGTATATAGCCTCCCTACTGTTATTTTATTTTACTTCTGCTCTTTCTTTCTCAACACTTTTTTGTTGTTGTTGTTTTATTTTACTTTTTTATTAAAAAATAAATGCATTGTTGGATAAGGGCTGTAAGTAAGCATTTCACGGTAATGTCTACACCTGTGGTATGTGATTTGATTTGATTTGATTTATAGCCATGTTATTACCTCTTATCCCTGCACATCCACTCAGTACTGGTACTCCCTGTATATAGCCATGTTATTACCTCTTATCCCTTCACATCCACTCAGTACTGGTACTCCCTGTATATAGCCATGTTATTACCTCTTATCCCTGCACATCCACTCAGTACTGGTACTCCCTGTATATAGCCATGTTATTACCTCTTATCCCTGCACATCCACTCAGTACTGGTACTCCCTGTATATATATAGCCATGTTATTACCTCTTATCCCTGCACATCCACTCAGTACTGGTACTCCCTGTATATAGCCATGTTATTACCTCTTATCCCTGCACATCCACTCAGTACTGGTACTCCCTGTATATAGCCATGTTATTACCTCTTATCCCTGCACATCCACTCAGTACTGGTACTCCCTGTATATAGCCATGTTATTACCTCTTATCCCTGTGTATTTATTCCTTCTGTCACTATGTCTATTTTTTATATACAGTGATCCCTCGCCACTTCGCGGTTCACTTATCGCGGATTCGCTATTTCGCGGATTTTCATAATGCATTTATTTTTTTTTGGTGCATTGTGCTCTGCATTCTGATTCGCTAAAAACTCACTCCCGCTTCTTGTATCAAAACATGCTACGAATTGTGCTATCATTTTGTCGTCTCGTGCAGTTATGTGTACGTAATAAAACAGCTTGGCAAATTTACATTAAGTTGGCCAAATTATCTTGTAATTTCGAACATCTCCTAAACCCATAATGTCGACGAAACGGCCCTGGACCGACAAAAGCACCTGCGGATGGGCCCAAACGGCGGAAGATGCTACCTATCTCAGATAAAGTTAAACTTCTGGACATGCTAAGGGAAGGTAAAAGCTATGCAGCCGTGAGGAATGGGACCCTTTGATGAGCCGTTCATTACAGTTCTCCAACGTAATCGATGGTGGCATGTCGGTGTACAAGGATCTTTTTGCAAAGAAGAAAAAAGAGCGACAACAGCTGCCTATCACTATGTTCTTCTCCCGAACAAACACACCTGCACCGCGGGCTTCAGAAGAAGAGAACACTGCAGAGCGCAGTCAGGATGCAGCGGCCCAGTCTGAAGAGCAGTGAAACGGCCTACACGTGAGTCACTGTATTTGTATACATGTAATAGTTGCTAATTGTAAAAAAAAAAAAGTTTTCTATTTCGCGGATTTCACTTATCGCGGGTCATTTTCGGAACGTAACCCCCGCGATAAACGAGGGATTACTGTATACAAAAATCTCTGCGTTGTTGTAAAAGGACCCTTAAGTAAGCATTTCACTGTTAGTCTACCCTTGTTGTCTACGAAGCATGTGACAAATAACATTTGATTTTATTTATTAAACTTACTGTGATTGATCTATCACAAATGTGTCTGTTTTTATGAGGAGAAGTTAACCTTTTGATACCATATGAATAATTTAGGGGAAGGGGGTTATTTTTCAGATATCTGGAAAAATCCTTGAGTTTACTTTAATGAGCAATGGGTATACTGTTAGATTAATCTCACATTCTTTAGTCATTGTGGAAAATCTGTGATAAATGTGTATAGGGATAGACAGATTTAGACTACTACAAATAATATCACAAATACATCATTGTGTGAGTCATATAAACATTTATTTAGTTTGTAAATTGTAAACTTGCAAATTACATACATGGTCAGTTTGTTAACCCATTTACACATGATATATGGTGTTGAACATGTAGTGATATGTGAGATTGTCAAAAGGTACAATTCTCGTAGTGGCAATGTCATATAACCATCTGAACAAGGACACAGTTTTTCACATATCAACAGTGGTCTTTTAGAGAGAAAATAATACCATAATATCAAAGGTAATATTTAGTATTTAATATTACAGTTAGCCTCATTTCAGTTTATGTGATAAAACAAGCAGTGTAGAGAATCATTGTATAATCCAAACCGCTGGGAAATATATTTTCAATATCCAAAAATATTGTATTTTCAGCAGTTTGAAGCTGGTGTACAAAACCGAAAGTAAAAGATGCAAAAACAAAATTTAAGAACGGGAAGCATAGAAATAGCGCACATAGAACATATCTTCCACTTCTTAGACTTGCTTTCAATGAGAATTACAGATCTATAACTCACTTTTCTATGTGAACTTGGTCGGGTCGCACAAAAAGTTACATACCGTAGCTTTAATAAACTTTCATAGATATAATATACTGTATTTAAAATCATATAAGCAATTTTTAACATGCAATTGTAAACTTTGTGCCGATGCCATCTTATCAATCTTGCGAGCAAGTTCCTGCTCTTAGTGACAAAAAGCAGAGGATCTGGCTATGTACACTAATATTTTTAATAAATTATTTATTTTATCTATTTTTAGGGTGTTTTCACATATGAAATGCGGTACCCTGGTGCGGTTCTCTGGAGCGTTTGAGAGAGTTCGACATAATACGTTTGGGTTTCACAATGCAATTTATTTAACATATCAGAATGCATTTTGGAATTCTGGGACTGTCTACGTTAAAACCCTGCTAGCTTAAACATGGAGACCAATTTACAATTATTTGTAATTTCTCTTATGATTTCCTTGAACTAAGTACTACAACAGTATTCTATTTTTTATTCTTTATTGATTTTCAAATTGTCAAATAATTTATACCATTCATCTCACGAATTACACCTGTGATGGATGTTTGCTCTTCCTAGTGCCAATAATGATGAATTAATGGATGATATGATTGTTCTAGTATATAGATTAATATAAACAGATCAACAAATAAATAACTTTAAGGAAGAATGGATCAAAATACGAGATGCTCACAAGCAAAGGTGTGTTCTACTAGCCCTTCAATTCCATCCCTGATCACAAGTACACGGACCAATAGATGACGTTGAAGAAGAGGAAGGAGAAGGGGAAGAGGGCTCGGGCATAGAGGTCGACCCGCTTGGCGGCTGAGGGAATGACGGGCTTGGGCGGCGGACGTTTCTTGGCCTTGGCCTGGCTTTTGCTCAGGCCATGGGGCAAGGTAATGGGCTTCCCGTAGCAGTCAAAGTTCGAAAGCTCAAAGTCCCGCGGCAGTGAGCCCACAATGCTGAAGTCGTTGGTGCGCAGGTCCGACTTGGAGGTGCACACCTTTTTGCACCGGGTCTCTGCCCCCTGGAAAAGGGAAAGGTGGTAAACATAACTTTGTTTATGGGAAAGTGGCTTTTTGCTGACAGAGTACCCACCCAACAATCACACCACACACACACATTCACGGAAGGCTGTGGGGAGCATATGGTCAGGTAAAAAGCAGCACCCCTTGAGCAGGTTAGAGGTTAAGTGCCTTGCTCAAGTGCACAATGGCATTGGTGGTGAGGTAGTGATGGGTGCAATTGCAAACATTTCATTATTCCCACTACTCCAAACATTCCCGTCCAGTCACTCTCCAGCTCTCTGACTTTCTCTCAGCTAATGGCATCATACATCTCGGCAGCCAGCAGTCAGCTAGAGCTCTAATCACATCCCATGTCATCCTCCTCCCTTACTGCCAACCACCAATGCTGAGCCATAGTGGCCAGAGCCAGAGAGACAGTAGTGATAAGCTGACCCGAGTGGAGCCTGGGGAAACTCAAATACCCTGTTCTGTTTGTCATTTCCAGAGACTTCACAGTGTCACATTCATAAAAGGAGTTGTTGAAGCTCATGAGGAATGCAAATGGCTGCCACAGATCACCTGACCACCTGGCCCTTATTACCAGGAGAACGGGGAGACGATGGAGGAGTCAAGGACTTGTCTGGCTCCAGTTTGTAAAGGAAGTGCAATGATGCTTGCCATACCCTTTGTATGTCTCAAAGCCTGTCCTCCAACCTCCTCCAATCAAGGAATACCTTAATTCGTGTGACATTCTGACAAGTTAATTTATGACTGTGCTTTGCCAACCCTGTCAGGACCGTTTGGTGTGGTTTCAGTCAGATCTATTCTGTTGTATGGTTCTAGTGTGGTTGGAGGGTAGGATGGTGCTAACATGCCTACGTTCTGAAGACATTGGCTGTGTTGTGCATTCCCTATGGAGATAGCGCATAAGGTGTCATGCTTCAAACGTCAGAGCGATGGATCAGCTACATTCCTCTGTATATGATCTTACTCGAGAGACACTTTGAGTGACGCTGGGTTGCGAGACACATGGGGTTGATCATTATTGGATGTCCATATATATCGGCATATACAGTGGGGGAAAAAAGTATTTAGTCAGCCACCAATTGTGCAAGTTCTCCCACTTAAAAAGATGAGAGAGGCCTGTAATTTTAATCATAGGTACACGTCAACTATGACAGACAAATTGAGAATTTTCTTTACAGAAAATCACATTGTAGGATTTTTAATGAATTTATTTGCAAATTATGGTGGGAAATAAGTATTTGGTCACCTACAAACAAGCAAGATTTCTGGCTCTCACAGACCTGTAACTTCTTCTTTAAGAGGCTCCTCTGTCCTCCACTCGTTACCTGTTTTAATGGCACCTGTTTGAACTTGTTATCAGTATAAAAGACCCCTGTCCACAACCTCAAACAGTCACACTCCAAACTCCACTATGGCCAAGACCAAAGAGCTGTCAAAGGACACCAGAAACAAAATTGTAGACCTGCACCAGGCTGGGAAGACTGAATCTGCAATAGGTAAGCAGCTTGGTTTGAAGAAATCAACTGTGGGAGCAATTATTAGGAAATGGAAGACATACAAGACCACTGATAATCTCCCTCGATCTGGGGCTCCACGCAAGATCTCACCCCGTGGGGTCAAAATGATCACAAGAACGGTGAGCAAAAATTCCAGAACCACACGGGGGGACCTAGTGAATGACCTGCAGAGAGCTGGGACCAAAGTAACAAAGCCTACCATCAGTAACACACTACGCCGCCAGGGACTCAAATCCTGCAGTGCCAGACGTGTCCCCCTGCTTAAGCCAGTACATGTCCAGGCCCGTCTGAAGTTTGCTAGAGTGCATTTGGATGATCCAGAAGAGGATTGGGAGAATGTCATATGGTCAGATGAAACCAAAATAGAACTTTTTGGTAAAAACTCAACTCGTCGTGTTTGTAGGACAAATAATGCTGAGTTGCATCCAAAGAACACCATACCTACTGTGAAGCATGGGGGTGGAAACATCATGCTTTGGGGCTGTTTTTCTGCAAAGGGACCAGGACGACTGATCCGTGTAAAGGAAAGAATGAATGGGGCCATGTATCGTGAGATTTTGAGTGAAAACCTCCTTCCATCAGCAAGGGCATTGAAGATGAAACGTGGCTGGGTCTTTCAGCATGACAATGATCCCAAACACACCGCCCAGGCAACGAAGGAGTGGCTTCGTAAGAAGCATTTCAAGGTCCTGGAGTGGCCTAGCCAGTCTCCAGATCTCAACCCCATAGAAAATCTTTGGAGGGAGTTGAAAGTCCGTGTTGCCCAGCGACAGCCCCAAAACATCACTGCTCTAGAGGAGATCTGCATGGAGGAATGGGCCAAAATACCAGCAACAGTGTGTGAAAACCTTGTGAAGACTTACAGAAAACGTTTGACCTGTGTCATTGCCAACAAAGGGTATATAACAAAGTATTGAGAAACTTTTGTTATTGACCAAATACTTATTTTCCACCATAATTTGCAAATAAATTCATTAAAAATCCTACAATGTGATTTTCTGGATTTTTTTTCCTCATTTTGTCTGTCATATATGATGAAAATTACAGGCCTCTCTCATCTTTTTAAGTGGGAGAACTTGCACAATTGGTGGCTGACTAAATACTTTTTTTCCCCACTGTACAAAGGGTGCCATTTTGACCATGCAGTGGTGTTTTGCATTGGTGTGGTGTCTGGCAGTTTCTTTCTGAATGAGATGAGAATGCAACAGATACACAATTATCTTCTGCATTGTCTTTTGATGGCACCCATAGACAGTGGCAAAATATCCCTAATGTTGTTGTTTTGGAGCTGTAATCTGGATTCTGGAAGTCTTCTCTTGTGTTTTCTTTGGGGAATCGACATGCTGCTACAATAGATTGCTAAATACAAAATAATCTGTGGGAAGTAGCTTCTAAAAACCCAAATTTCAAAGTCAAAGAGTTTCTCATCGACTTGCCTCAAGGGCTACAGGGCAAATTAGAAACAAATCATATAGTTGCTAGTTTTTCACTCTAACCATTAAGCTCATTAAATCGTCATTCATTTGATTTACGTTTGATAAGAAAACATATTTGATCTCTGGGGACTAGTGTAATCTTCTCGAAGTCTTGACTAACATACATTACCATGTCAATTAATGTCAATGAAGTGTATGATTTAAAAGAAAATTTCAGGAGTGAAATCTGTACCTGAGTGTCAATCTTTATCCGTGCCAGGCAAGAGTGCAGAAGATGTTAGCATTTATGAATGATTGGATCGTCCAATCTATTTAGCATTTAGATTGCTAACTTCACTCTAATCATGCCTAGGGACAAGGTTAACCATTCGTCATTCAACTAAGTGTGAGGAAAGTGGTCTGGATATAGCAAGTGCACACACGAGTACACACGTGCACGCAAATGTACACACACGTAAGCATCTGTATCCATTAGGGACAACTTCATCCTGACTTAGATCAGTGTCTGGAGACAACTTCATCCTGACTTAGATCAGTGTCTGGTGACAACTTCATCCTATTTCTAATTATGAAAGCGAACACACGTACACAAGCAACACACACAACTCCCCCCCCCCCCCCCCCCCACCCCCCTTTCATTCCCCACAAACACCCATCCCCTCCCCACCTTTCCCTCACCCACCTGCAGCGTGCTGACATGACAGGGAGTCTCGCTGGTACCGTTGATCGTGTTGTTCTTGCCCACCGCCTTCTCCTTGCCCTCTGCCTTTACCTTGGATGCCATCTTGGCCTTCTCGGCCTCGATGCGCTTGGGGCTGTTGAGCATCACCTGCACCACGGCATACTCCACCAGCGAGGCGAAGCCAAACAGTAGGCAGGCGATCAGCCAGATGTCGATGGCCTTCACGTACGACACCTTGGGCAGCTCTGAGGCCAGGGACGTGCACTCAGAAGACAAGGAGAGCACCGAGAGGATCCCTGGGAGGTTAACAGGGAGGGAGGGAGGGAAGAGGTGACCTTGTCAACTAAACATCAAAGGAAGGAGAGCATAGCTTAGCGTTGGGGATCCTTCTAGAGGTGTCCTAGGATCGCAAATTAGCATTTGGACTCGACTCTCTAATGCTCAACATAGAATGCACAGCAGACAAGGAGATTCAACTTCAGACCTTGCGGGTCGCAGTATTTGCACGTTTTCATCCTTGCCTTTAAATCAAAGGTCTAGTCTTTGATCTAAACCAGGTGAGTGGTAAATAGCAGGGAGAAGACACAGCAGCCCTCGACAGTTGGAATTTAATACCCCTGATGTACAGTACAGAATAATGGATATATGAATCACCTGGACTAGGCAGTGGTAATAAAACACTCACATTCAAGCCCATATCCCCAGGATATACAGTACTAAGAGCCCAATTATAAACCCATGAACCTTCCTTTACCCATGAACCTTCCTTCTCCCTTCCTCATTCTAGTGATGAAGCGGGTTCACAAAGCCACCGATAATAAAGAGCTATTTTCTATTGTTTTTCCTCTCTGATTGGCCAATTAATCTAGGCCGTTATATAAGTGACTGCATAAAAATCTCGAAATAAAAGCATGAGGTCCTTATTTCGGATGATTAGCTAACCCCATCGGAGTTCACCGAGCTCTGAAATCCTTTTCATCCCAGCATGCAAGCTGGCCTATTTTACATAACACAGGGAAAGTGTTGTCTCTGTTTAAACAGCATAATGCTTTGTTTGCTGACGCTTGTCCCCTGATGTATTGTGGGAACAAAATGTGTCCGACACCGACACACATAGTAGGAAGCGTATATGGAAGTACTCCACACATCTAATCACATGTACGCTAACACACACACACACACACACACACACACACACACAGAGGTGAATGAATGCCATATGTAAATGGACACACATAGGAGATGACTGACCTGTGCTGATCCCATTTACTGAGGTGTCATGAGGTGGCCCTCCAGAGGAGATGGAGGGATGGGACGAAAGTGACTAACAGCTGGAGGGGAAACAGAGGAGGAGGTAGTAGTGATGGCGGTGGTGGGAGTGGGGGAGTAACAATGGATGGTCCTCTTATCCACACAGCTCTCTCCAAACCCATCAGAATGGATGAAGTGACGTCACACGGGGGAGAAGTTGACATTTCTGACTCATGCAAGCTTGTTTATGATGGACCAGGCGAGTTACTCATACAACATAAATTGTTTTATGATATATTATGTATCACGTAGGGGAGACTGTGGATTGACAATGGATGGTTCCATTGCTATTCACATTTCACTCCCTCAGGCACACAGTGAAACAATAAAATGGGACACTAGACTATATGAAAAAGTGGAAAGCACTCTCATGTCATCATGCAGTGATGTCAAATGGATGGCCATATTAGGCTGCATTTGATGCCTCAATAAGTCAGACTAGCCTCGAAATTAGTCAAGCAAAATAATAATGAAACGTAGCGTGATTCAGTTTAGATTTTTGAGGCTAAATTCAGACAACACCCCAGTGACATGGGAGACTAGCTACAGTCAGACACAGTGACATGGGAGACTAGCTACAGTCAGACACAGTGACATGGGAGACTAGCTACAGTCAGACACAGTGACATGGGGTTAGGATAGGGGTTAGGGGTAAGTAGTTAGGATAGGGGTTATGAGTCAGTCAGTGGTTAGGATAGGGGTTAGGGGTCAGTGGTTAGGATAGGGGTTAGGGGTCAGTGGTTAGGATAGGGGTTAGGGGTCAGTGGTTAGGATAGGGGTTAGGGGTCAGGGATTAGGGGTCAGCGGTTAGGATAGGGGTTAAGGGTCAGTGGTTAGAATAGGGATTAAAGTTCATACCTAGAGGAACCCTGGCAGCGCTGGCATCAGGGTTGATCCAGAAGGAGAGCCAGGAGAGGACCACGATGAGGAGTGTGGGGGCATAGACACCCATCATGTAGAAGCCCACCTGCCTCCTCAGGGTGAAGATCACCTCCACACACGTGTAGTAGCCTAGAGGAGTAAAGATAGTGTTTTAGAGCAAGGCTGGAACAAAAGCCTGCAAAACCCTTAAGATGAGGGTTGGCCATCCCTGGTTTAGGATGAGTGTAATAAGTAAATTCACAAACTAAAGTGTACCAAGTTTTTCAAGCTACCGGTAGGATTAAACATTCATAACAAAGTCATCTAAAACGACTTTGGGTAGACAATAATATGACCACTAAATTACTGTTGTGATAACTAACTATCATTGCTATTGTCGGTCTGTGAATGAAATCACAAGAATGAACAAGTCTTTTCCAAGAGTTTGACTAAGGACAAGCAGAGAGAGAATGGATCATCATCAAGATACCCTATATAGTGCCTTGCAAAAGTATTCATCCCCCTTGGCGTCTTTCCTATTTTGTTGCATTACAACCTGTAATTTAAATGGATTTTTATTATGATTTCATGTAATGGACATACACAAAATAGTCCAAATTGGTGAAGTGAAATAAAAAAAATTACTTGTTTCCAAGAATTCTACAAAATAAATAACGGAAAAGTGGTGCTGCATATGTATTCACCCCCTTTGCTATGAAGCCCTTAAATAAGATCTGTTGCAACCAATTACCTTCAGAAGTCACATAATTAGTTAAATAAAGTCCACCTGTGTGCAAACTAAGTGTCACATTATCTGTCACATAATCTCAGTATATATACACCTGTTCTGAAAGGCCCCAGAGTCTGCAACACCACTAAGCAAGGGGCACCACCAAGCAAGCGGCACCATGAAGACCAAGGAGCTCTCCAAACAGGTCAGGGACAAAGTTGTGGATAAGTACAGATCAGGGTTGGGTTATATAAAATTATCCAAAACTTTGAACATCCCACGGAGCACCATTAAATCAATTATTAAAAAAAAATGAAAGAATATGACACCACAACAAACCTGCTAAGAGAAGGCTGCCCACCAAAACTCACGGACCAGGCAAGGAGGGCATTAATCAGAGAGGCAACAAAGAGACCAAAGATCTGTAAAGCTCCACAGCGGAGATTGGAGTGTCTGTCCATAGGACCACTTTAAGCCGTACACTCCACAGAGCTGGGCTTTACGGAAGAGTGGCAAGAAAAAAGCCATTGCTTAAAGAAAAAAATAAGCAAACACATTTGGTGTTCGCCAAAAGGCATGTGGGAGACTCCCCAAACATATGGAAGAAGGGACTCTGGTCAGATGAGACTAAAATGTAGCTTTTTGGCCATCAAGGAAAACGCTATGTCTGGCGCAAACCCAACACCTCTCATCACCCCGAGAACACCATCCCCACAGTGAAGCATGGTGGTGGTGGCAGCATCATGCTGTGGGAATGTTTTTCATCAGCAGGGACTGGTCAGAATTGAAGGAATGATGGATGGCGCTAAATACAGGGAAATTCTTGAGGGAAACCTGTTTCAGTCTTCAAGAGATTTGAGACTGGGACGGAGGTTCACCTTCCAGCAGGACAATGACCCTAAGCACCAGCGGAACCCATCCAATTTGAAGGAGCTGGAGCAGTTTTGCCTTGAAGAATGGGCAAAAATCCCAGTGGTTAGATGTGCCAAGCTTATAGAGACATACCCCAAGAGACTTGCAGCTGTAATTGCTGTGAAAGGTTTGTTTCACAATTAAAAATATTTTGCATCTTCAAAGTGGTAGGCATGTTGCGTAAATGATACAAACCCCCAAAAAATCAATTTTAATTCCAGATTGTAAGGCAACAAAATAGGAAAAATGCCAAGGGGGGTGAATACTTTCGCAAGCCACTGTATTCCAGGCTAAATGTGCATGTTCTCACACTCGTCTAACACCGGGGGCTATTTCCTCTTGGATTATTCTTTTAGGAACAGAAGAGGGGAGGTGCAGCCCCTGGCATATTCAATTTTGTCAGCTTCCTCTCTCTCTCTCGCTCGCTCGCTCGCTCAATTTTGTCAGCTTCCTCTCTCTCTCTCTCTCTCTCTCTCGCTCTCTCTGATAATGATCTGCTGTTTAATTGCCTTTATGAATAACCATGATATCTCACTTCCCAGACAGACTGCTGTTTCACTGTTTCTTTCCCTCATTATCTGCTTTGGAGTAACTTTATTAAAGGTCAAATGCAGGCAAAAACGTGATTTTCCTGTGTTTTATATATATTTCCACTCTATGAGGTTTGAAAAGACTGTTTTGGTGGGATGGAGTTTTGCCCTGCCTGTTGACATCAATAACTAAATTAGCAAGTAGTAGTAGGTCAATTAGTTAGTAGATCAGTAAGAAAAATTGTTACAAACCTCTCTGCAAATAACAGCTATTTTTCAGTTTTCCCCTTCCTGCAAAAATCTTGCTTGAGAAATTGCTCTTTGCTAAGAAGCTATTTTTGGTTCCTTTTGACCATTTTAATTGAAAACAATCACAGTAAGGTTCTTAATTGTTACCCTGAATTGATTTAATATTGAGATAAAAAAGGCTGCATTGGACCTTTAAACATGTCTCTTGTGTTTTCACACCCTGTTCCCTGGCTCCTGCACCTATCTTTCCCTTAAGTAGACCCTGTAGCGATGCCCCTGCCATTCCTCTATGTCAGGGGTTCCCCATGACCCCATTTTGATATCAAAACATTTTTGCAACCCCACAACGTAAAAAAAGTGATGCAATAAATGGCCAATGGTTTCTTTTTTAATAAAACAAAAAACAAAAATAGTTTCTCTCGTGACCCCATTTTCTAATTAGGCGACCCTTAGTTTGGGAAACCCTGCTCTAGGTGGACCCTGCAGTGATGCCCCCCCCCACCAACCACCCCCCCACCCAGAAGTGCAAACCTTCTGCCCTTCTGGCACTCCAAACATGCTCAATATAATACTTAAAGTATTTGAAAGAAAATGAATACTACTTAAACCAGGCTTTGAGACGCTGTAGGGGTTTAGGGTGGACATACTGAGGTAATGTTTACCCACCTCCATCTCTCTGTGTGTGCCATGCTAAAGAACGGGCTCCCACCGGTGATCTTTGTGTCTCGCTGGGTCGTCACAACAACCCCATTAAAGGTTGCCTCGCTGCCAGCTGCGTTGCTCCCCTGTGTGAGTGTGCTGGGGTCGTGTTCGAACTGAGTGCTAACTGTGTCGGCCTTTCGCTAACGGTGCTATGCTAACCTCCAGTGACACTCGCTGCTTTGTTTTTAGAGTTAACATTTAACTACTCACACTGACAGGTGAGGAAAGGCCTGGGTTTTTAAAGTGCTTTAGCGAAGCGTGACCTATCAAAGTTTTAATATCTCAGGGCTATATTGAGCATGAGAACCCATGTAGGCTACTGTGTGTTTCTTCAATGCAACTGCAGGAGAAGTGTAAGAGACAGAATTTTAAGCTTTGGCCAAAGCTAGTCAGATACATTAGCTACATAAAATTGTGCTACAGTTCTCATTAATGAAGAACTTACAGAGATAGTATGAAGAAGCGTTGTATGTAACACATGCAAATACAACATTGAAAAGTAACCTAGAACACTGGGCCCCGTGTAGCTCAGTTGGTAGAGCATGGCACTTGCAACGCCAGGGTTGTGGGTTCGATTCCCACGGGGGTCAGTATGAGAAAAAAAAAGCTATGCACTCACTAACTGTAAGTCGCTCTGGAAGAGCGTCTGCTAAATGACGTAAATGTAAATGTTTATTTTGAGGCCTTTGGAGTCTTTGAAGTTTATGAGAAAACAATATCTTAGCGTTAGTATCGAGCCACGGAAGCATTTCAATTTACATGGAATAATTAAGCAATGGATGAAATGGAAAAGCCAGATCCTTACATTGTTAAGCCAAGCTCATTAAAGTCTCTGACGCTCTAGTTAATGGCAAAGCTTAATCAGGAGACTGGAAGTTCATTGGTTCAAAGGATTTCTCACTGTGCTAATTTCTAATTTTTGTATCAATAACTATTGCCTTGCAACCGATGCCAAATGCAAGGGAGAGTATGGCATGAGTAAAATAGAGCAGGCCAATATGGTTTCATCGCATATTCTTTAAAAAATAATGAGTCAAATATAGTAGGTCGTTTTTATGTCTGTCCGTACAGGCCTATAGTGCAATGCACCTAGTAGACCGTATTATGGGCATGTTAAGTACAGTTGATTTGAAAACCCATTTGTACATGCTTATGACACGTAATAATGCCTTATACCTGTTGTTAGCACAGTTTTCACTAGTGATAGAGGAAAAAATCAATACAGTTACATATCGGGAAATTATTTTTGATGATATATCGTATTGTATCGTTTTGACAATATCGCAATATTATTTTGCGCTAGTTGGCTGTAACTGCACCAAAACTCCAGTATTTTTCCTTCATAGCTTGTTCTCCATCTTCTTTTTTGAAATAGGGAGCCAATTTGTTTAAAGTACAGAAAATAAATATATGTTTTTATTGTCACATACACCGGATAAGTGCAGTGAAATGTGTTGTTTTACAGGGTCAGCCATAGTAGTGTGGCATCCCTGGAGCAAATTAGGGTTAAGTGACTTGCTCAAGGGCACATCGACAGATTTTTCACCTTGCCGGCTCAGATATTCGAACCAGCGGCCTTTCGGTTACTGGCCCAATACTCTAACCGCTAGGGTACCTGTCGCCCTATTTTATTTCCATGACTGATCAAAACTGTTTTTCTCATGGCTCTCTCTTGTCCCTCTGCAGCAGACATATGGTGAGCAATGGAATAGCAATAAAATCACAGTATTGAATCGCAATACATATAGAATAGTGAAAATTGCAATACACATCGTATCAGCATCTAAGTATTGTGATAATATCGTATCGTGAAGTCCCTGGCAAATCCCAGCCATAGTTTTCACTCAAATGAAAACAGAATACTTGTATTTCATGCCTATGGGGGGCATACCTGTCCCTGCATAGAATTTGGTGCAGTTTCCATACTCTATATCCTCCTGTTTGATATCAAACTGGGGAAGGGCGATCTCCTCCATCTGGACAGGGTCCCCTGACTGCCACATAAACTGCAGGTCATCCGTCGTATAGCCAACTGTAGACACAGAGAGACGGGTACACACACATATATACACACACACGGAAGCATCCACAGGCACACAGGCAAACGCACGCACAAACACACAAACACACATTGTCGTCGTCAACAACAGTTAATACTGTATATAAATCTCCATCCTGGCATGATTAAACTATATCTCAATGTTGTTTGAAGTACATTTTTCAATTAATAGTAATCACACTCTGCTAATAAGAAGATTTTTCAGTAGTCATCTTTAATTACTTGTAATCCTTCCCTAACAAACATGAAATATAGACTGATTTACATGTCCTATACATTGGCTAGTGTGATTACATTTATTTTATTTGTTTAGGCAAGTCAGTTAAGAATAAATTCTTATTTACGATGACGGCCTGGGAAGTGGTGAAGGGCAAGGGCAGCGCTAAATAAATAAATAAAACGAGACAGGAAAGAGACAACAGGAAAGACATCACAACACGTAACAGACAGTAACAACAATGCATAAATGAAACCAATTGGTCTGTGACTGCAAAACATATTTTACATGAATTCAAGAATAACTATAGCTCTCTCGCTCTCTAACAGATACCATATATGGTCATGTGAAACTGAGCCATTATCAGTTACTCACAGCTCTCCAGCTGCATCTTACAGCGCTGCGTATCCATGGGAAACAGGGTCAGGTCCAGAGGACAGGATAGAGTGACAGACAACCTGGCAAAATGCAGAACCACAATGATGCAAATAAAATACACACCATTTACAATTAGAATATCAATATTAACGCAATTAATGACTGTTAGTTGCAACGATTTCATCATTAACGCTATTGATGATTCGTTATCATGTCACGTTGCTCTTCAGCCAACACCACCCTATGCCTGTGGACATAATTAGAAATGATGAATGTTTTTAAAACCCATTGAGATCTATCTGATTGAGGTTGGATTCAATGTGACCTACCGCAATAAAATGCTTCCTTCTAGTGAAAAGTTGGCTAAACTGGTCAAATTGATTGAAACATTTATTAGAAATGTCTGTGTCCTTGAATGTAAGTATGAGCTGTGAGCTAGATGGACGCAGAACGAGAATTACAGAGCTGCTGGGGATTCAGACTGTCGTCTAAAAACTTTCCTCCCAAATCGGTTCATCAATACCGCAAAGCTATATCATTTAAGAGACAATGGCGACTGCTGAATTATTGAAAAAGACGCTTCCTCACATGCAGAAATACATTCTTAATGTGGGCAGCACCTTTATTGTGTTTAGAGTTGCATATTTATTTCCCAGCCGGCCATTTGCACATGAAAGCTTTGGGTTTTGGTTGAGACTTTAGAGGAGTGCTATTTTAGTATTTTGACAGCTTTCCCCATCCTGTATACACAGTACATAGAGTACATCACCACAACAACACAGTACGTTTGGGGAATGACTCAGAGCTTTTAGCCTGAGTGACTTGAAAATACACATAGGGTATCCAATATGGGATCAGGAGTAAGCAGCCGAGCAGCCGAGCTTCAGTACTTGGGAGTGTGATAGGACTAAACATCCTCCTTTCTCCATAACGTAGTTCTTACAGCAGCTAGTGCCACCTTGTCACACGACTTATAAGGACAAGACTAATGTCAAGGCTCCAGATACAGTGAGTAGAGGGAGAACTGACTGGGGAGATAAACATTGGACAGTATTAGTGGGGGAAAGTATTATTAATGTGCTAATCCTTAGGCTGGGTGGAGTGGAGTGGGGCATTGTGGGAAAATACAGGCTGTCATAGGTTTTTTGCATTGTCATCCTGTGGAAATTACTCTCACTAATGACATAGAATATTGTCATTCCAGATCAGTAAAAAGGCTCAACAGATGTATCACGTCTCTAAATCTCTGATTACTCTAAGTCCCTAAAGCAGCATTAAAGTATTACAGAGAGATTTCTGTGTGCACCGGATACACAAACACAAATGATGTCATGACATGATTCCTGGTGGATGTTGTGTATTAACTTAGTACTAAAAATATATATTTATCTTGTTCATCTACATAGCTGTATAGTCAATGTATCTTCAACAAAGTTTACCAGAGTGAACATTAACATAAAAGTACCATATTTTCATCAGCAGTTGTCACAAATAACTTTCTGAGGTAGATTTTATGACACTGCATCAAAATAATGATTTTATTCTAGCTGCTGTGGTCTGAGTTCCAAAATCATTTAAAAAAAAGCTATGTTTAATTCGCTAGTGCATGGCAGTACCAGTAAATCTACTAGAATAAAAATGCTTTCTTTTAAAAATAGTGCAGCAATTTCTGTGAGCCATCAGATAACAATGTTAAAGCACTCTGAATGAACAATGAAGGTATGGACTTGATTATACCTCATATGAATCTGATTAGGTTGTTAGGGCCCAGTTTACTGTAACTGTGAGGAAATGGCTGTCTCCAAAGCTGGCTTAAAGGAGAGCAACCACTCTCCAATTTTAAAAACACATTTTTCCTATTTTGTTGCCTTACAACCTGGAATTAAACTGGATTTTTGGGGGGTTTGTATCATTTGATTTACACAACATGCCTACCACTTTGAAGATGTAAAATATTTTTTATTGTGAAACAAACAAGAAATAAGACAAAAACTTGAGCGTGCATAACTAAGTCAATACTTTGTAGAGCCACCTTTTGCAGCAATTTCAGCTGCAAGTCTCTTGGGGTATGTCTTTATAAGCTTGGCACATCTAGCCACTGGGATTTTTGCCCATTCTTCAAGGCAAAACTGCTCCAGCTCCTTCAAGTTGGATAGGTTCCGCTCGTGTACAGCAATCTTTAAGTCATACCACAGATTCTCAATTGGATTGAGGTCTGGGCTTTGACTAGGCCATTCCAAGTCATTTAAATGTTTCCCCTTAAGCCACTCGAGTGTTGCTTTAGCAGTATGCTTAGGGTCATTGTCCTGCTGGAAGGTGAATCTCCGTCCCAGTCTCAAATCTTTGGAAGACTGAAACAGGCTTCCCTCAAGAATTTCCTTGTATTTAGCGCCATCCATCATTCCTTCAATTCTGACCAGTTTCCCAGTCCCTGCCGATGAAAAACATCCCCACAACATGATGCTGCCACCACCATGCTTCACTGTGGGGATGCTGTTCTCGGGGTGATGAGAGGTGTTGGGTTTGCGCCAGACATAGCGTTTTCCTTGATGGCCAAAAAGCTCAATTTTAGTCTCATCTGACCAGAGTACCTTCCTCCATATGTTTGGGGAGTCTCCCACATGCCTTTTGGTGAACACCAAACGTGTTTGCTTATTTATTTCTTTAAGCAATGGCTTTTTTCTGGCCACTCTTCCGTAAAGCCCAGCTCTGTGGAGTGTACGGCTTAAAGTGGTCCTATGGACAGATACTCCAATCTCTGCTGTGGAGCTTTGCAGCTCCTTCAGGGATATCTTTGGTCTCTTTGTTGCCTCTCTGATTAATGCCCTCCTTGCCTGATCCGTGAGTTTTGGTGGGCGGCCCTCTCTTGGCAGGTTTGTTGTGGTGCCATATTCTTTCCATTTTTTTATAATGGATTTAATGGTGCTCCGTGGGATGTTCAAAAGTTTCTGATAATTTTATATAACCCAACCCTGATCTGTACTTCTCCACAACTTTGTCCCTGACCTTTTTGGAGAGCTCCTTGGACTTGATGGTGCCGCTTGCTTGGTGGTGCCCCTTGCTTAGTGGTGTTGCAGACTCTGGGGCCTTTCAGAACAGGTGTATATATACTGAGATCATGTGACAGATCATGTGACACTTAGATTGCACACAGGTGGACTTTATTTAACTAATTATGTGACTTCTGGAGGTAATTGGTTGCAACAGATCTTATTTAGGGGCTTCATAGCAAAGGGGGTGAATACATATGCACGCACCACTTTTCCGTTTTTTTTATTTTTTTTAACAAGTTATTTTTTTCATTTTACTTCACCAATTTGGACTATTTTGTGTATGTCCATTACATGAAATCATAATCAAAATCCATTTAAATTACAGGTTGTAATGCAACAAAATAGGAAAAACGCCAATGAGGATGAATACTTTTGCAAGGCACTGTATGTTCAGATAGCTATACCGTGATTAGCCACACACTCATTAGACAAAGTAGAATAATTGACCATACGCCATAGGATGATTAGGAATACACATGTATACTTCTGGAAGTTTCTCTGCTAAAATATATTTTTCAAATCTCAATGGCATCACCTGTATAGGAAAATAAATCAGTCAAAATGTTTAACTGTACGCCAACACTCACCTCATGCTGATGAGGACGTCACCGTTGCGGAAGATGAAGAGGAGAATGTTCTCCTGGGTGACGTCGTGGAAGTTGGCGCTCTTCTCGTTAGCGAAGAACAGATCAGGCTTCCACAGGCATTTGAACATCTTTGGATCAACGGTGAGCGATTCAGACTTAAAGTCCCGAGGTAGCCTGAGTCTGGGATCATTCCATCGCTGCCTCAGGAAGATGTTCACTCTGTAATCCTGTTATTATCACATTCGGGAACACAAAAGCATTGCAAAACCATAGTCCTGCAGTTATTGTCGTAAATGGAGAGATCCATCCTTGTGTGAAGGCTCTAGTTTCACAGAGAAACACAGAACACAAAAAACCTCAGTCCCATGGCTATGCTAACCAATGGATGAGCTAATGCTAAGGTTTATGCTAATGTCAAGGCTCAAATATCACTAAATATAGACAAAGTAGTCAGACATGGGCACTGATAAATGGTTGACAAGCAAACCTGACTTTCTGGAGTTACATGTCAAAAAACTGTGTGGTTACTATCCATCATTATCCATCAACAGGGATGGCTAACAAAATGGCTGACTTCTTCCCATGAACTCTACCCACTGATTATAAACAAACAAGTTTGATCAAAAGTGTCTAAAGCAATTTGAAGTGACTCAAATCCAATTTTTTTTGCATATCCGATTCGAATCTGTTATTTTTCCTGCAGTCTGAACAGCCAAAAAGCACATGGAATCTGATCATTCAAGTCACATTTCAAACCACCTTCTTCGGTGGTTTGAAATCAGATACAAATCTGATTCCTGGCCATGCGACTTGTGTCTGAACAGTCAAATCAATGTATTTGCCCTCGAGTTCTTTTTAGACTGTTATTTGGCATAACTTGTGGCTTGCTAGCTACTCTGTTAACAGTTTGACAAGAACATGTGGTAGTTTGACAAGAACACAAACAAATTAGTTAATGTGCTAGAAAGCTAAACAGCTACCTAGCTAGCTAGTTGACTCCTGTGGCTAGCCAAAAAGGACTTGTTTTGAAAGTTGGATCATCTTATCCTTTGAGGCTTTAAGTGTTCTTACATTATGATTTTGAAAATTCAAAGCAACTGGGAGACTTCCATGGCAGGCATTGTTGTCAGTCACCTTAGCTTGCTACATAACTTTTGAGTAGCCATGTCAGCAAAGGACTGCGGTCTGAACACACACAAATCTGATTTGGTCACTTCTAACTTGCTGTTCGGACAGTCAGTGTCCCAAAACGGATTTGAAAAACAAAACTGATTTGTGCATTTAGGCATGCAGTGTAAACAAGGCTTAAGTTACTTCAACATGCAAGTCTTAGGTTCTACAGATGCAGAGAAAGGCTGATTGCATTTCGATTTAAATCAACCAACAAAATGTTGACATGAAAGGAACTGTTTAAGGGTGTTGCAAAGGTTCAAGGGGTTATCAATACAGCAACATGGAATGATGCAAAAGCCTCATTAAGAGCTTGATTAAGAGCTTAGAACATGTTGTTTAAGAGTGACGTTTTATGTGCCATTGAGTTTTGGTGTACGTCAAATTCTGTTGGAGAGCAGATGTAGGGAGGGGCTATTAGTTCATTTCGTGAAGACGGATGACCTGTCAAATAATCCCCAAACACACCAACTGTGTGTGTGTTGTGTGTGTGTGTGTGTGCACATGGATGTTGCCTTGTTAAAATTGTGATCAGTTTAATGACAACGACCATATTCATTCACAATATAAATTCAGAAACAAAATGTCCAATAGATGTTCTGCTGCACCACTGTATCATGGCCTTAACAACTGACCATAACGTTTAACAGGCCTATCTTTGACTGTACCCTGACATAAACTCAACCAACCTCTGTTGCATTCCAAATTCCACACCTTGCCTTTTGTAAATCTCTAAAGATTAAATGTAATCTCTGCGGCAGGGTATCACCACCCATCTGCCGCTGTGAATTTGGCAAAGATTTAACACATCCACCAAGTGTAATGAAAGAGGAAAACTCAAGATGGAGAGGCCTTATAAAACATGGTGGGAATTTATTATCCGCTGCAACATCAAATTAGTCATCCTCTCCAGGCAACTGTGCCTCATAAAGTGAAAATGGATGTGTTAACTAAGGTGGGCGTGCAGCGGAGAGGAGCATATAGCTGAGGTGTAAATGACAGAACAGTATTTCAAAAGATCAGAAGCCCTGTCGAGTGATTAATGGAGAACTAGAGGTAACCAGCTGTCTCTCTCCATATCTTTCTCTGTCTTTCACTCCTTCTCATCAATTCAACTATATCTTGTTCATGCTGGGATACAGCTAAGTGGAAATATGGAAAAGATGAGCTGCTGTCTGTCTGTCTGTCTGTCTGTCTCACTCTTTCTCCCTCTCATATAGCTAACCGCTAACTCTTGGGTTTTGACTGTTATCGTTTTCATGTGACGCATATCATCATCTTAATCGTCCCTGGTGTGAAATTCCCCACTGTTGGAATTAAGTGCACCGGTAGAACGCAGACACACACCACTGATCTCTGGCCAAGGGAAATATTTTAGGTGGAAACCCAAGCCATTCCAGGATACAGGATCTAAGCTTTGTCATGGGTGTCACTCCCCATAAAGTGCAAAGACATTGGAACAGGAGTTGACTCTGGAGCAGACATACACACCTGCCTCAGCAAAACAGCAAACATAAAGCTCAATGGCCCCAAGTGATACATACAGTACCTTCGGAAAGTATTCAGACCCCTTGACTTTTTCCACATTTTGTTAGTTTACAGCGTTATTCTAAAATTGATACAAATACATAAAAAAAACTCATCAATCTACACACAATACTCCATAATGACAAAGCAAAAAACAGGTTTTTAGAAATGTTTGCTAATTTATTAAAAATAAAAAACTGGAAAAAAATGAAATATGACATTTACATAAGTAATCAGACCCTTAGTACGTTGTTGAAGCACCTATAGCAGCGATTACAGCCTCACGTCTACTTGGGTATGAAGCTACAAGCTTGGCACACCTGTATTTGGGGAGTTTCTCCCATTCTTCTCTGCAGATCCTTTCAAGCTCTGTCAGGTTGGATGGGGAGCATTGCTGCAAAGCTATTTTCAGGTCTCTCCAGAGATGTTCGATCGGGTTCAAGTCCGGGCTCTGGCTGGGCCACTCAAGGACATTCAGAGACTTGTCCCGAAGCCACTCCTGCGTTGTCTTGGCTGTGTGCTTAGGGTTGTTGTCCTGTTGGAAGGTGAACCTTCGCCCCAGTCTGAGGTCCTAAGCGCTCTGGAGCAAGTTTTCATTAAGGAGCTCTCTGTACTTTGCTCCGTTCATCTTTGCCTTGATCCTGACTAGTCTCCCAGTCCCTGCTACTGAAAAACCCACAGCATGATGCTGCTACCACCATGCTTCACCGTGGGGATGGTGCCAGGTTTCCTCCAGACGTGACGCTTGGCATTCAGGCCAAAGAGTTCAATCTTGGTTTCATCAGACCAGAGAATCTTGTTTCTCATTGTCTGAGAGTCTTTAGGTGCCTTTTGGCAAACTCCAAGTGGGCTGTCATGTGCCTTTTTCTGAGGAGTGGCTTCCGAATGGCCACTCTACCATTAAGGCCTGATTGGTTGAGTGCTGCAGAGATGGTTGTCCTTCTGGAAGGTTCTCCCATCTCCACAGAGGAACTCTAGAACTCTGTCAGATCGGGTTCTTGGTCACCTCCCTGACCGGGTCAGCCAGCTCTAGGAAGAGTCTTGGTGGTTCCAAACTTCTTCCATTTAAAAATTATGGAGGCCACTGTGTTCTTGGGGACCTTCAATGCAGCATTACTTTTTTGGTAACCTTCCCTAGATCTGTGCCTCGACACAATCCTGTCTCGGAGCTCTATGGACAATTCCTTCGACCTCATGGCTTGGTTTTTGCTCTGACATGCACAGTCAACTGTGGGACCTTATATAGACAGGTGTGTGCCTTTCCAAATCATATCCAATCAATTGAATTTACCACAGGTGGACTCCAATCAAGTTGTAGAAACATCTCAAGGATGATCAATGGAAACAGGATGCACCTGAGCTCAATTTTCAGTCTCATAGCAAAGGGTCTGAATACTTATGTAAATAAGGTATTTTTATATTTATTTTTTATAAATTAGCAGACATTTCTAAAAACCTGTTTTCGCTTTGTCATTATGGGGTATTGTGTGTAGATTGCTGAGGATTTTTTTATTTTTTATTTTTCATTTTAGAATAAGGCTATAACGCAACAAAATTTTGGAAAAAGTCAAGGGGTCTGAATACTTTCCGAAGGCACTGTAGATGGATAACAACGCCCATGGGTTAACAGACACTTGTCTGGCTGGCTGGCTGGCTGGCTGTTTCCATCCACCCAACCACCCACGTACTTGCCATTCCTGTATGCACAGTATCCTCAGTGCAGGAGGTCTATTTGCATTCCAAATCCATCTACAGTAACGCTCACTTGCAAATCCATTAGCCTACATAGGGCCTGAGAGGCTAACTGAACAGATTGTTAACTATTCTACTCCTCCCATATGTGGAATGAAAAGACAACAGTAGGTAGGTTATTAGGAAGTTTAAACAGCATTCTTTTGAATGTCTCTCAAAGTGAGTCAGGGTCAAATCATCTTGTCCTTGAGTTTAATCTACATCCATTAGCATTCCGGAAACACAGTTGTTTCAGCAATGAAGCCATCAGATAAATGAGGTATGAAAGCCTTTGTCCTAATAATGATTCACCATTAAATCGTCTGACGCACTGTAGTCTGCGTACAATACATCTTCCTGAATCAGCTATGCTTATTAATAATGTACTATTATATTACTGATTGATTAAATTATATGTTAATCAGATGGAATTTAACCATGGGGGGTTTGAGTAGGTTAAAGATGACCCTAGATGATGCCCTAAGGTCAGTTGTTTACCCTTATGGTTAAGGTGAGGATTTGGGGAGGATAAACGGGGAACTTTTATCACACAGTGAGGAAGTCTTACCATAGTGGTCTCCTGGATTGACCCAAAGCTGTTTATAAATATGTTAACTTTATCCTCCACAGGAATGCCTAAAAAATAAAATAAAATAAAAAATAAATACAAAAAATGTTAGAACAGCATAAACACAGTAAAATATCTCACCTGTCACACAAAACGTGTTGAGATTGATCCCCTGGGCGAAGCGGTGCCCGAGAAACAGCTTCAAATATAATTTCGGAGATTAGAGAGCTGACATTAATGGATGGCAAGATCTAGCTTTCATCTGGCCTTGAGAAGAACACCAGATGTGGGCCCAGTGGGAAGAATAAGCAGGCAGTCATAGAGGGAGTTCACATGGCACGAACCACATCAAACATTCAAAGTCTGGGAGATGCATACAGAGCCAATGCCAGGGAATGAGGATGGGTCTGCGATGGTCTAAAGAAGACCACCCTGGACCCATAACATCATCAGGTGGGGATTCTATTGGGGCACAAAACATCTTAAAGGCCTGGGAGGGGGGGTTGGTTCTTTTGACAGTGTGTATAGATTGAGTTAAATCAAATTGTGAATTACTGTAAAGGTCTACTCCAATAAATGCCTTTAAAGTAGCTTCCTCCACATGGAAACTTGGATGATAGAATAAAAGAGAGAGAGAGAGAGAGAGAGAGAGAGAGAGAGAGAGAGAGAGAGAGAGAGAGAGAGAAGGCTAACCTTTGAAGTTGGGCCTGATTCGAGGATCATAGGTGATCAGTAATCTGTTCAAGATGTTACTGGTTGAATTCTCAGGGACCCGTGCGAGATCCTCAGGTGTCAGCTGTCTGCAAAGAAGAAAGAAAAACGAAGGAAACTCTAAACCACATTACGTAGCAGGTCAAATTCTCCTGGATTAACTGTGCAGACGGAAGTATATCTTTGTGTTTCCATAACCTGAGAACTACCAGTTGATGATTCAAGTAGCTTTGGTAATAGGACCTCCCCGGCAAACGATGCTTGGGGTCTCAGAGCATTCCTGGAATGTCTGCAAAATTAGGGTTAAATGTTCACATGATTATGGCAAGTGTTCTTGGTTCTCATAGCAGAGTGAAAAATCAAGGAAATTCCTCAAGAATTCCCTTGACAATCTGAAGAAAATCAAGGACTAAAAAGTGAATGGCTGTATAGGTTGCTCTAATGTCAGCAGCTACTGTAAATGGCAACATCCACAATGTTGCTGAATACAACATTTGCATAATGTTTCTTGCAACCCTAAAATGACGTTCTCGGAACATAGAATGCAAATTATTTTCACACTATCAACAACCAAAGGTTCTTAGTGTATGTGTGAAATATTCACATAAGTTGTGACCTTAGAAGAATTTTCAACATTCAAGGAACGTCTTCTGCTTTCTGAGACTGATTTGCTGAAATAACAATGACCTGAGAAGAGAACGATGGCGGGAGCAGGATTTGGCAGAGGAAAGAGGGAAAATCCAGTCCACGTGGGTGGCAACTGAACTCTGCCAAGGAATTCAACTTGAAAAGCACATTACATATGATTTTGTAACCCTTATCAGGCACTGAGGATGAGTAAAAGTGCTCGGCTGGAATTTGTGTGTGCATGTTTGCAGTTCCCTTGATCAAAGTGTATCCCCTCTGCTCCACCATAAGTCCCCCACCAACAAAACTTTGTTTTCTCTCCAGTTTAGGCATTCACTGTGAATATTGTAATGAAATTAAAGGTTTCCCTTCAATTTCAATAATCATTATGTTTGATCCCTTTTAGGATTTAGTAGAGTAAGACATCAAACATGGATAGGGATGAAATTATTTTTTTGAGAGATGATTCTTCTGGCCAGCTGTCCTGATTTCTAATGTATCAAACATCTGTCTCTTCTTGGATTGCATTTTCAGACACTAAGCATTTGCAAATGGTCCGAGTAACTGTTTGTATTTTGGAGTTTGAGCAATAGGCAATGCCGCAGGGAATCTCATGAGGTGGGGTGAAATTCTGCACTTACGAAGGACAGTAAACTTGCTTCCCCTTCTTCCCTTTCCTTGTCCCTTTCTCTTTAGTGGATCCTCCCTCTATCCAGACCAAGAAGACGAGGAGAAGGATGGCCAGCTTCTTGACGCCCATCTTGGTCAACCACTGAGCCTGAAAAGAGAGAAAGAAAAATAATAGATATCTTCATGTCTTCAACTCACTTAATGTGTCGACATTCGCAAGCTCTCTCCAAATGTTGTCTTTTTGACCATCCAATAGAACTAGACGGTGATTTGCACATATGTAGCAAGGCTACCCCATTTGGTTAGTTATATCAATCAAATGTGTTTATAAAGCCACATTTGCATGCTCTAGTTTAAATCCCTTCCTGTAAATAAAGGCTTTAGATCTATCACATCTATTGTTCTGTCAGCAGATTGGTACTCCATGGATATGACTCTGATGAGATTCTGTCACCAATATAACCTGATTTTATTCATAACTTTGAACATTCTGTATACTTTTAATCTTGTGGCTCAGTTGGTTGGAGAAGTATATATAAACATACTGTACACTGAATGTGTATTAATACACTGAGGGTACAAAACATTAGGAACACCTGCTCTTTCCAGGACATAGACTGACCAGGTGAAAGCTATGATCCCTTACTGATGTCATTTGTTAAATCCACTTCAATCAGTGTAGATGAAGGGGAGGAGACAGGTTAAAGAAGGATTTTTAAGCCTTGAGACAATTGAGACATAGATTGTGCATGTGTGCCATTCAGAGATTGAATGGGCAAGACAAAATATTTAAGTGCCTTTGAACTGGGTATGGTAGTAGGTGCCAGGTGCACCGCTTTGAGTGTGTCAAGACTGGTCCACTACCCAAAAGACATCCAGCCAACTTGACACAACTGTGGGAAGCATCGGAGTCAACATGGGACAGCATCCCTGTGGAATGCTTTCGACACCTTGGAGAGTCCATGCCCTGACGAACTGAGGCTGTTCTGAGGGAAAAGGGGGCAACTCAATATTAGGAAGGTGTTCTTAACGTTTTGTACACTCAGTGGTATGTGTTATTGGCCATTTCATGTAAGAGTGTCTGCTAAATAACCATATCACAGCATTCCTAAAGTCTAATGTCTTCCTCTTGCTGAATTGTTTTGAAAGTTTCATAAATTGAATATAATACAGCAATTTTACTATATTCAAAGCACTTGTTAAGTGTCAAAAGCACTCTACAATTGTATTGATTGATGGATGCCACCAACACAATGTACACCTTTATTCCATTAAGAGATTACAACCCAGACTAGTTCCTAGACAAGTTCATTTGCCAGAATGGAGCTCTTGCATTTCATTGTCTAGACACTCTGCCGCTGCACAAGGAATTCCCTGTCTGCTACTCCCACATTGATCATCATCAGCTGTAGCAGAACTGTGCCCCACTTCGGTTCACTCTGTACCTCGGCACTAAAACCTCTCCTAGCTTATACAGATCTTGATCACTCTTTTGTTGCTGAGAATGTTCCTGCACAGCAGGAAATCCAAACTTGTAGTGTATTTTAGTTTTAAAAAGGCTTCTAAAGATTGTAATTTCCACTTTGAGATATCAAATTTGATTTGCCCTAATGAAAAATGTATCAACCTTTACAAAAATGTCCATTAATTAGAATACACATAATAATTCACATTTCGTGTTGCTGCAGGATTATTTTCCTGCTGTAGCAAACTGGCTCAAATTAAGATCCTACATCTGTATTTCACACATGATTATTAATTCCACACAGCTGAAGTGTTAGCGGTTTATTTGACATGACACCTATCCCCTTATGTACTTCTTTGTGTCTGACCCAGAATTCCCTTGACCTAGAATTACCCCTAATGATTATCTTCCAGTGATATATTACCAGTGGTGAAAAAAGTTCTCAAATCTCATACTTGAGTAAAAGTAAAGATACCTTAATAGAAAATGACTCAAGTAAAAGTGAAAGTCACTCAGTAAAATACTACTTGAGTAAAAGTCTAAAGGTATTTGGTTTTAAATATACTTAAGTATCAAATGTCAATGTAGTTGCTAAAATATACTTAAGTATCAAAAGTAAAAGTAAAAGTACAAATAATTAAAAATTCCTTTTATTAAGCAAACCAGACGGCACCATTTTCTTGTTTTTTTTATTTACAGACAGCCAGGGTCACACTCCAACACTCAGACATCATTTAAAAACAAAGCATTTGTGTTTAGTGAGTCCACCAGATCAGAGGCAGTAGGGATGACCAGGGATGTTCTCTTGATAAGTGTGCGAATTGGACCATTTTCTGTCCTGCTAAGCATTCAAAATGTAATGAGTACTTTTGGGTGTCAGGGAAAATGTAAGGAGTAAAAAGTACATAATTTTCTTTAGGAATGTAGTGAAGTAAAAGTAAAAGTTGTCAAACATACAAATAGTAAAGTGAAGTATAGATACTCAAAAAAACTACTTAAGCAGTACTTTAAAGTATTTTTACTTAAGTACTTTACACCACTGTATATCACCTTAATTAGTCTTTCTCTTTCTTTCTTTCTGTCACGCCCTGGCTCTGGGGACTCTTAAATGTTGAGCCAGGGTGTGGATTTTTCCTTGTTTAGTTTTCTAGGTTTGTCGTTCTAGATCGTGTATTTCTATGTTGGCCAGGGTGGTTCCCAATCAGAGACAGCTGTAGCTCGTTGTCTCTGATTGGGGACCATACTTAGGCAGCCTGTTGGCATGTTACGTTGTGGGATCTTGTTCCGTTAAGGTTTGTTGTATAACCTAGGACTTCACGTTTCGTTTGTTGTTTTGTTCATGTTGTTGTGTAGAAATAAAGTATGTACGCTTATCACGCTGCGCCTTGGTCCGCATCTGTCGACGATCGTGACACTTACTTTCTTTCTTTCTTTCTCTCTAAAGCGATTTACAGTCAAGTTCACAGAGATGTGCAAAGTTGTGCTATGGCTAAGTTGTGCTATTGCTGGTGTCCCCTGCATATTTCATAAGCTTTTAGTCACTTTGCTTTGGCATGGTCCCTGTTTCCTAAATATAGTTTGTTTAAGTATTTTCCCTTTTCACTGAGTGAGGACTGAGGAGACAATCATTGCTGCTCTCCTAATATTATGTAAATAATATTTATTTTATTTAACTTTTATTTAAAATTAAATTTAAAAGATTTAACCAGGGAGACACATTGAGACCTAAGTCTCATTCACAAGCATGCCCTGGGAACAACAGTCACATCAGCACACACACACATATACACAATATACATACAATATACACATTAGACATTATAATCAAATAAAACAAACACATTCATCACTATAAAAATCCTTAACCAAATTATCCAAACGAAGTGCCAACTGGAGACTAATATGAAAAAGCAGATTTCCTGAACTCTGTGGTTACCAAGGGAGTCATCATTGTTAACCAATCCTGTGACCTTGTATTATAACCTGAAATTCTACATTTCAACAAAGATGTTAAGTATGTTGGAAGCTTGTGGAGTAGGGCTTTATAAACAAAAAGAGAGTAATGGAGTGATCTATGTGTCTTTAAACAGGTCCAGACAACTATTTGGTAAAGGATGCAGTGATGAGTATTAAAACTGTCAGATGTAATAAAACGAAGGGTGCAATGATAGACAGAATCAAGGGATTTTAGAGTAGAGTCAGTTGCACTTCCGTTGAGGGTATCACCATAGTCAAGAAAAGGTAGAAAAGTTGATTGGGAAAACACTGCAAATAACCTCAAAAAGCCCTGTTTTAAGAGAGTTCACCACTATGTCACTCCATTCTTACTGATCCATTCTTACTGATCCATTCTTACCATAAGAGCCTTGTGTTGTTGTTTATATAGAGAGTTAAATTCAAGTGTAAAGGCAGTGACACAAGCTCCCACATAGAATGCCTATTGGTATCATCAGGCCAATAGGAATTATGTTCACCCAACAAAACCTTCTCCATTAGTGCTTTAATTGCACTATTGGATTTCTGACATTGGAGGCCTACTAAACGGCTGTTATTGCTTGTGCAGGGTTACATACAGTATGCACAATGTAGCAAAAACACTGCTATTATTGAACTGCAAAGAAATGCCCATTTAATTTGGCTACCAAGGCACTGCAAATAATTTTTCCATTCCACGTTTCATAGTCTGCAGACAAATAAATTGTGACATTCATAGTATAGAATAGATACCAATGAAATAAATACAAAAACAGCTTTGCATGACATTATTCAACGTTCCCTCATTTTCATCTTTGTGTCTTATCGAGCCTTTTATTGTGCACCTCCATACTTAAGTAATCAAATCAAGCGATGCAATTCCTTCTAATAGCCTACCAATTTCAACAATCACTACCTGTGGCTGCCTGCACCTCGCATCAGGTCCAATTGCAACAAGCGAAGACGCTGCCACTTGCCCAAAGCTTGAGCGCCACTTGCAAAAGATGGAGAATAGTATACATAGCGAATAGACCACCACGATATGAGGTGATAGGGGAATGGGGGGAGATGTCATTACGTACGTGCGAAAACATACGTCGGGGTCATGCGTTTCACATTGCCTACATTGACGTGAACATAGGCTACAACACCGTTTTGTTTAAAAATACAAGCATTTCACTTACCATTTTGTTTTCTTTAATAGTTTATTCGTTACTAGACCGGGTAAAGCTGACAATGTAAGCGGTCGTTAGTCTTCCTTGACCATACGCAGTCGATATTCTTCGTTCTGGTCTCCCTCGTCCGTCATTCAATTAAAGGAGGGTTGTTGATTTTTCTCTCTAATTTACATTTCGGGAATTTGCCTATTTTTCTCTACGCGCGGTCTTGCTTTTATTTTTATTGAATGTATGTGGTTGATGCCCTTTTGCCTTAGTTCAGGATGCACAAGATGGAGGATTGCGTGTGCACCTGTCATGCAACATGCGCAGTAGCGGCTGCACACATAAATACATAATTGCCTCAGCACCCCGTACAGCCGCTTTCTGCCCACAACGATAAATGAAAGGCCGTTATGTTTGGCCAATAATATATATATTAATGTGAAGCGTACAAACTCCCTATTATTTACGATGTCATATTCATGAGCAACGTTTAGCGGCAACTAAAGAGTCGGTCGAGCGCTTGTGAAGATTGCACATGACACCATAGACTATTTAGCAAATAAAATGACAGTGTATAATGAATTATGTCTTGTTGGTTTGTAGACACATACATGTTAGTGAATGTAGGTTCAATATATATTTTCATATTGTGTTGAGGCGTTAAAATGTTAATTTATGACTGAATGCCTATCAAGGTCAGAAAGGCTATGTTCTTGTTGGGATGATCAGCAAAATCCAACAATGACTGAATAAAGTAGGCTAGTCTGTAACATCCTACATTATAATTAGATGAGTTTTATTGTGTAATATTTTGTCAACTCGAAGCCTATCCATAACACAACATACCATCTATAACACAACATAACATCTATAATTCAACATACATCCATAACACAACATAACATCTATAACACAACATAACATCTATAAAACAACATAACATCTATAACACAACACAACATCCATAACACAACATAACATCCTTAACACAACATAACATCCATGACATAACAACTACATCTATAACACAACATAACATCTATAACACAACATAACATATATAACACAACATAACATCTATAACTCAACATAACATCTATAACTCAACATAACATCCATAGCACAACATTACATCTATAACACAACATCCATAACACAACATAACATCCTTAACACAACATAACATCCATGACATAACAACTACATACATAACACAACATACCATCTATAACACAACGTAACATCTATAAGACAACACAACATCTATGACACAACATAACTCTATAACACAATATAACATCTATAACTCAACATAACATCTACAGTACCAGTCAAAAGTTTGGACACACCTACTCATTCCAGGGTTTTTCTTTATTTTTACTATTTTCTACATTGTAGAATAATAGTGAAGACATCAAAACTATGAAATAACACATATGGAATGTGGTAACCAAAAAAGTGTTAAACAAATCAAAATATATTTTATATTTGAGATTTTTCAAATAGCCACCCTTTGGCATTCTCTTAACCAGCTTCACAAGGTAGTCACCTGGAATGCATTTCAATTAACAGGTGTGCCTTCTTAAACGTTAATTTGTGGAATTTATATCCCTCTTAATATGTTTGAGCCAATCAGTTGTGTTGTGACAAGGTAGGGGGGTATACAGAAGTTAGCCCTATTTGGTAAAAGACCAAGTCCATATTATGGCAAGAACAGCTCAAATAAGCAAAGAGATACGACAGTCCATCATTACTTTAAGACATGAAGGTCAGTCAATACAGAACATTTCAAGAACTTTGAAAGTTTTCTTAAAGTGCAGTCGCAAAAACCATGAAGCGCTATAATGAAACTGGCTCTCATGAGGACCGCCACAGGAATGGAAGACCCAGAGTTACCTCTGCTGCAGAGGATAAGTTCATTAGACTTACCAGCCTCAGAAATTGCAGGCCAAATAAATGCTTCACAGAGTTCAAGTAACAGACACATCTCAATATCAACTGTTCAGAGGAGACTGTGTGAATCAGGCCTTCATGGTCGAATTGCTGCAAAGAAACCACAACTAAAGGACACCAATAAGAAGAAGAGACTTGCTTGGGCCAAGAAACATGAGCAATGGACATTAGACCGGTGGACATTTTTCCTTTGGTCTGGAGTCTAAATTTGAGATTTTGGTTCCAACCGCCGTGGCTTTGTGAGACGTGGTGTTGGTGAACAGATGATCTACCTATGTGTATTTCCCATTGTAAAGAATGGAGGAGGAGGTGTTATGGTGTGGGGGTGCTTTGCTAGTGACACTGTCTGTGATTTATTTAGAATTCAAGGCACACTTAACCAGCAAGGCTACCACAGCATTCTGCAGTGATACGCCATCCCATCTGGTTTGAGCTTAGTGGAACTATCATTGGTTTTTAAACAGGACAATGATCCAACACACCTCCAGGCTGTGTAAGGGCTATTTTACCAAGAAGGAGAGTGATGGAGTGCTGCATCAGATGACCTGGCCTCCACAATCCCCCGACCTCAACCCAATTGAGATGGTTTTGGATGAGTCGGACCCCAGAGTGAAGGAAAAGCAGCCAACAAGTGCTCAGCATATGTGGGAGAGGTAGTGGCAGTAACTCAATAAAACATCTATAACACAATGTAACATCTATAACACAACGTAACATCTATAACACAACGTACCATCAATAACTCAGCATACCTGGCAAGTATTATCTATTTAATCTCTCTTAATCTCTGTCATTTCTATATCTATGTCTCTACACTAAATCATGATCCACTGATAAAAGCAACTACATTGAACGAAAATATAAACACAACATGCAACAATTTCAAAGATTTTACTGAGTTACAGGTTATATAAGGAAATCAGTCAATTGAAATAAATAAATTAGGCCCTAAACTATGGATTTCACATGACTGGGAATACAGATATGCTTCTTTTGGTCACAGATACATTAACAAAATGTAGGGGCATGGATCAGAAAACCAGTCAGTATCTGGTGTGACCACCATTTGCCTCATGCAGTGCAACGCTTCTCCTTTGCATAGACTTGATCAGGCTGTTGATTGTGGCCTGTGGAATGTTGTCCCACTCCTCTTCAATGGCTGTGTGAAGTTGCTGGATATTGGCTGGAACTGGAACACGCTGTTGTACACATCGATCCAGAGCATCCCAAACTGGCTCAATGGGTGACATGTCTGGTGAGCATGCAGGCCATGGAAGAAATGGGACATTTTCAGCTTCCAGGAATTGTGTACAGATCCTTGTGACATGGGGCTGTGCATTATCATGCTGAAACATGAGGTGATGGCGGCAGATGAATATGCACGACAATGGGCTTCAGGATCTCGTCACGGTATCTCTGTGCAATCAAATTGCCATCGATAAAATGCAATTGTGTTCGTTGTCCGTAGTTATGACTGCCCATACCATAACCCCGCCGCCACCATGGGGCACTCTGTTCACAATGTTGACATCAGGGGGGGCCAGTATGAAAAATGTATGCACTCACTAATTGTAAGTCGCTCTGGATAAGAGCGTCTGCTAAATGACTAAAATGTCCAAAAAAATCAGCAAACCGCTCGCTCAAACAACGCCATACACGCTGTCTGCCATCTGCCCGGTACAGTTGAAACCAGGATTCATCCGTGAAGATCACACTTCTCAAGTGTGTCAATGGCCATCGAAGGTGAGCATTTTCCCACTGAAGTCGGTTACGACGCCAAACTGCAATCAGGTTAAGACCCTGGTGAGGACAACGAGCACGCAGATGAGCTTCCCTGAGATGGTTTCTGACAGTTTGTGCATAAATTCTTTGGTCGTGCAAACCCACAGTTTCATCAGCTGTCCGGGTGGCTGGTCTCAGACGATCCCGCAGGTGAAGAAACCGGATGTGGAGGTCCTGGTCTGGCGTGGTTACAGGTGGTCTGCGGTTGTGAGGCCGGTTGGACGTACTGCCAAATTCTCTAAAACGTTGTGGAGGCGACTCATGGTAAATAAATTAACATTACATTCTCTGGTAACAGCTCTGGTGGACATTCCTGCAGTCAGCATGCCAATTGCATCTGTGGAATTGTGTTGTGTGACAAAACTGCACATTTTAGAGTGGCCTTTTATTGTCCCCAGGACAAGGTGCACCTGTGTAATGATCATGCTGTTTAATCAGCTTCTTGATATGCCACACCTGTCAGGTGGATGGATTATCTTGGCAAAGGAGAAATGCTCACTAGCAGGGATGTAAAGAAATTTGTGCACATGGAACATTTCTGGGATCTTTTATTTTAGCTCATGAAACATGGGACCAACACTTTACATGTTTTGTTTATATTTTTGTTCAGTATAACTTACCTGCTCAATCTCATTACAAGATTGTTGTTTTCAGTGCAATAGAAAGTCAGTGAGGTAGGGGGAGTTTGCATCAGCGAATGCATGCTTGTCTGCCAAGAAACACAGTGTCAGTGTGTGTGTGTGTATGTGAGTGTGTGTTTCGCTGTGTGTGTGTGTGTGTGTGGATGCCCGCCAGCATTCTCTCTCTGTTGAGGAGAGAGAGAGTGTGTGTGTGTGTGTGTGCAGGAATGCATTCTTGCCTCTTAAACCCATCAGGACATTGGGAGTGGAGGTTCTCTACCATCTATGGTGTGTAGTGTACCTCCACGTTGTAGCCAGGCCAACAGAGAATCAAAGCTGACCTCTGAGGTGGAGACACTCCTTTCTCTCTCACACAGTCTGATATCAAAGGGAATCAAACTATGTGGTTTATGACCCTTGCCTTTGTACGTCTAGTCAAGAGGTATTACTGAGGAACAGTTTGCATCACCTTTTTAAATGGGCCTTATGTTGTTCTTCCAAAGAATAAGAAAATTGAATCTATTCCAAATCCCATTTCACATATAACCCAGGGCTTTAGTTCCTTTTATATTATTCAAAGAGTCTGGGGCAGATTGGACAGGTTCCCCACGTTGGTCCCTATAGTATCAGTCTGGGGCAGATTGGGCAGGTTCCCCATGTTGGTCCCTAATAGTGGGGCGGGTCAAGAGCTTCAAGTTCCTTGGTGACCACATCACTAGCAAACTATCATGGTCCAAACACACCAAGACAATGCCTATTCCCCCTCAGGAGACTGAAAAGATTTGGCATGTCCTCAGATCCTCAAAAGGTTATACAACTGCACCATCGAGAGCATCCTGACTGGTTGCATCACCACTTGTTATGGCAACTGCTCGGCATCCAACCGCAATGCGCTACAGAGGGTAGTGCGTACGGCCCAGTACATCACTGGGGCCGAGCTCCCTGCCATCCAGGACCTCTATAC